ACGCTGCCGGGATGCCGTGCCCGTTGTCCCGCACATAGTAGACGTGATTGCGCTCCCCGACGCCGGGCCTATGCGGCGCCACGTCGGCTGCATGCGCGGCGCGAACGTCGAGCCCGGGTTGCACGACACCCGTTGCCCGCGCCGCCGGTCGCACGGTCGCATGCCGTTGCATGTCGTCGGCGTCCGGATCGATCCAGCCGATCTCGATCACGCCGGAGCGCGACGGGTCCAGGTACGCAAGCGCATTGCCGACCAGATGGCCGAAAATCTGCTCGATCGTGCCCGTATCACCCCACGCCAGCGGCAGTGGCTGGATCAATATGCGCGCGCCGTTCGCATGCCTTTCGTTCCTCAGTGACTCAATTATCCGCTGCAGCACGGTATTCACGTCCACCACGGCCCACTGATACTCGATCCGGCCTGCGCGCGACAGCCTGAGCAGCGCATCGATGATACCGGCCGCGCGTGTGACCGCACTTTGCAAGAAGCCAATCGATTCATTGACCTCTCCTGCGACGATGCGCTCGAGCCGCTCGCGCTCGGAGGCGGGCAGATCCAGCTCGTCGATCGTCTCGCGCAGCTCCCTCGCCGACACTTTCAGCTCTCGAGAGAATCCCTGCAGGTTGACCAACGGGGAGCGCAAATCGTGCGACACGCTGTAGATGAACATCTCGTTGTCACGCGTCTGCTGCCGCAGTTCCTCGTTGACCCGCGCAAGCTCGCCGGTGCGCCGCTGCAGATCGGCCCTCAGCAGCGCATGCTCGCGCTCTGCCCGCACCAGCTTGCGGCTCGTGTCGTGCAGCACCTCGTCAAGCTGCGCGATTTCGTCGCTGCCTGGCAGCGGTGCATCGAGCGGCTCGCCGGTTCCCAGCCGCAATGCGTTCGTCGTCAATACCGCGATAAGCCGACCGATGTGCCGCGCAAACATGAGCGCGACACATACAACGGACAGCAACGATACGCCCACCACGAGCCACAGCTCAAACCGCCGCGTCCTCAGTGAGGCTTGCAACTGTACATTGCGCGCTGCCTGAAGCTTGTTCTCGGCGTCGACGAAATCGCTGAGCTCGCTGCGCAATTCATTGATCTCGCGCGGCATCTCCTCGCCGCGATACGCCTCGATCACGCGCTCGCGCTCACCCAAGCGCAACTGCTCCGCCACACGCTGCGTTAGCTTGCGATACCGGTCGACCGTCTCGCGCATGCGTGCGATGCGGCGGGTCTGCTCGGGATTATCGGCCACCGTCGCCTCGAGCGCATTGAGCCGATCCGCGAGCTCGATCCACGTCGAGCGCTTGTCCGCGAACGCCGGGTCGCCGACGATGATCCCTGCACGCAGTTGCGATGCCTGGCGCAGCAGCGGCCCGAGCAGCGCTTCGGCTTGGTTGATCACCTTCTTGGACTGCAATGCCCACTGCTCGGCGTTGGCCACCTGCCGCTCCACGCTGAACAACGCCATCAACAGCGCCACCCCGCACATTGTCAGTACGGCGACAAGCGATAGTCCCTTGGTAAAGAGCCTCATGCGTGAACCGGCACCTGCTCGAACGTCAATGCATGTCCCCTTGTCGATCGCTGGCGTCGCATCACGGGATCGAATGCCGGCCAGCAAAAGATTATCGGCCCTGTACGCCGATATTTCAATCGTAGACCAAACTGGGGGCTTGTGACCCGGATTCACCTTTCCAAATCGGTCAATATGCTATAAAAATCGGAATATTGGCGTGACGACTGTCGCTATTTCCGCAACGGTAGCGGGCCTTTCAAACGCCATTGAACCGTTCGCGCAGCCCGGCCCGCGTTGTACTCGGCTCGAACAGGTGCCGCGTGTCCAGCGCGACCAGCTCGCCATCGCGCTTCGGGTCGTACGCCATCGCGGCGACAATGCCCACGCCCAGGGTAAGAAGAACGGGTACCGTCTGGCCACACAGTGCGGGTCGCTGCCATCGAAATTTCAAGGAGCGCTTGAAATCCCTTTGATACTGTATAAAAATACAGCTACCTGTTCATCCATACAGTGACGACATGACAAAACTTACCGCCCGTCAGCAGCAGGTCTACGACTTGATCCGCCGCGCGATCGAGCGCACCGGCTTTCCGCCGACCCGTGCGGAGATCGCCGCGGAGCTCGGCTTTAGCTCGGCCAATTCGGCCGAGGAACACCTGCGGGCGCTCGCGCGCAAAGGCGTGATCGGGCTTGCGGCAGGCGCCTCGCGCGGCATCCGGCTGCTGTCGGCGGAGGAAGGTCCGCACCCGTACGCATTGCCGCATCCCGCCGTGATGCAGTTGTCATTGCCACTGGTCGGGCGCGTCGCGGCTGGCAGCCCGATTCTTGCCCACGAGCATATCGCGCAGCACTACGCGTGCGATCCGGCGCTGTTCGAGAGCCGGCCGGACTATCTGCTCAAAGTGCGCGGGATGTCGATGCGCGACGCGGGCATCTTCGATGGGGACCTGCTCGCGGTGCAAAAAAAGCAGGAGGCGAAGGAAGGTCAGATCGTCATTGCGCGCCTTGGAGACGACGTGACGGTCAAGCGTTTCCATCGGCGGGTAAGCGGCATCGAATTGATTGCGGAAAACCCCGACTACGAGAACATCATCGTGACGCTGGGACAGGAAGATTTCGAACTGGAAGGCATCGCGGTCGGCTTGATCCGCCCGAGCGCATTCTGAGTACCGACACGGAGAATCCGATGGAACGACTTGCACGCCTGTTTCCGCTACGCGCGCTCGCACGCGTACGCCGCCCGCGTGGCCTCGTGCCTTGCGGCACCTTGCTGCGCCCGACGGCATCGTTTGGAATGCAAACGAGTCACGCGACGCCGATGCATTGGGTCGCGCATACCCAGGCCAGTACCGCGAATGCGGATGCGCGTGGGCACGTCGAATTGCCCTCCAGGCTGCCGGCGTTCGCGCGCGTCCCACTGCGCCACGGTGTCCCGCAGGCCGAGCCAGTCCAGCGTCATGCATTCCGTAGCAACGACCCGGTGCGCGTCTATCGCAGTCCATCGCGCGTGGTGCTAGTCGGACATATCGACGCGGTCTGCAGCATGATCGACCAGTATATCGCGGTGCAGGGGGCTGGGGTTGTACACGGCTTGCTCGATTAATTGGCTCGCACTACAACTACGGCGACTGCGTCTATGACCTCAGCTTCATTCAAGCGTCTTGCTGCTGCAATTGTCATGCTGGCCGTCGCGGCTGCCGGCATGATCAGCTATGCGTCGCCATACGTCGCATTGAACCGCCTGAAGCAGGCGGCCGAGGCTCGAGACGCTGAAACGGTCAATCGATACGTCGACTATCCAGCACTGCGCGCCAGCCTGAAGCAGGCGCTCAACGCATATGTTGCGCGCGTAGTCGGCGCGCATGCGCAGGATTCACCGTTGGCGCGGGCCATCGCGGACGCCGGTACGATGATCGGCTCGGCGCTGATTGCACCGATTGTCGAAGTTTACGCGACGCCGGACGGCGTCGCCGCATTGCTGGCCGGCATGCCGCCACGCGACGTCGCAAACGACGCGTCACCTCCTGGGCCAGTCCGAACGCCGCAAACTGATGCTACGCGCCGCGCTTCCGAATTGAGCGCATGCTATCGCGGCCTCAACGAATTCGTCGTCCGGTATCGCACCGATCCCAAAGACATTCCGTATGCGGCAGTTTTTCACCGCACCGGGATCTTCAGCTGGCGGCTCGTCGGAGTTGAATTGAGCGGCGCGTGACTGGGAAACGGCTTACAGACTGGGCTTTTTTGTGCTTGAGACAAGCGGGTGCGAATCCGTCGGCGACGGGATAAAATGATTATTTGCTTGTAATATCCGTGCATTCAGCACTTCCCGCTCCGATGATCGACTTCAATGCCTGTCATGCCCGCCGCATCTGCATCGCGCCGATGATGGATTGGACTGACCGCCACTGCCGCTACTTCCACCGGCAGTTGTCCCGTCACCTATACCTGTACACGGAAATGGTCACCACAGGGGCGCTGCTGTTCGGCGATGTCGCACGGCACCTGTCGTTCACACCGCAAGAGGCGCCCGTCGCATTGCAGCTCGGCGGCAGCGAGCCGGACGATCTTGCCCGCTGCGCAAAGCTCGGCGAGCGTTGGGGCTATGACGAAATCAACCTGAATTGTGGCTGCCCGTCCGAGCGCGTACAGCGCGGCGCGTTCGGCGCGTGCCTGATGAACGAGCCTACGCTGGTCGCGGATTGCGTGAAGGCGATGGCCGACACCGTGTCGATTCCAGTGACGGTCAAGCACCGAATTGGCGTGGATGCGATCGAAGACTATGGATTCGTGCGGGATTTCGTTGGCACGATCTCACAAGCCGGCTGCCAGGTGTTCATCGTGCATTCGCGTAACGCGATACTGAAAGGTCTTTCGCCGAAGGAAAACCGCGAGATCCCGCCGTTAAAGTACGACTCCGCGTATCGTCTCAAACGCGACTTTCCGCAACTGGAGATCATCATCAACGGTGGCATCAAGACGCTGGACGAAGCCCAAGCGCACCTGGACCACGTCGACGGCGTGATGCTCGGACGCGAGGCGTATCACAACCCCTACCTGTTGGCCGACGTCGACCGGCGCTTCTACGATTTGACCGCGCCGCTGCGCACGCGCGAGCAGGTCGAACAGGCAATGATGGAGTACATCCGGGTGGAGTTGGCGCGCGGCACATACATCGGCGCCGTCACGCGGCACTTGCTCGGGCTCTATCGAGACGTACCCGGAGCGCGCGGCTGGCGTCGCATCCTATCGGACCATAAGAAGCTGGCCAATGGAGATCTGCGCATATTCAACGAGGCCCGGGCGCTGCTGAACATGCGCTCGGCCCGCTACACCGGTGAGCATGCGGATTGAGCGGAATGTCTGACAGGAATTTTTTGCTGCTCACCGCTAGCAAAATCGAAAGTCTCCGCGTATAATTTTGTTCTTTGCTGGTGAGTCGTTCTTCTTTCCAGTGCGCAGTGCATCTTGCTGTACCAGGTTCCCTGCAGTGGTGGCCGTAGCTCAGTTGGTAGAGTCCAGGATTGTGATTCCTGTCGTCGTGGGTTCGAGTCCCATCGGCCACCCCAAGCATTCCACCATCGGCTTGCGATAGCGGCTTCGGCACGTCGGCCGACCTACTTGCTTACGCAAGCATCTTCGCTCATAGCGCCCCTTGCGCTATTCGTCGTCACCGGCATTGCGCAGGTATTCGTCGACACGCAGTTCAATTCATTCGAGCACCGATTCATCGGACAATAGGGTGACCTGGCTGGCAACCCAGGTCACCGCGCACAACACAGGCAAGCAGCGTGCAACGCTCGCCGGACACGGCAAGTGACGCTGTGCGGCCCGACGTCGCAGGACGGGCGTGATTTATACTTAAATAATAACAGTGCTGCAATGGAGTTCCGGGTGACCCAGGCGCACGAGCCCGCCTGGGCCGGGCAAAAAGGAGGATGCGATGAGATCTCTGGCAATGGTGGTGACGTCCTGCGCCGCACTGGCGTCGTCCGTATTCAGCGTCGCTGTCGCAGGCCAGCATCCCGCACGAGCCGATACGCCGCCCACGGCCGGTGCGGCATCCCAGCTCGCTTATTCCGGCCAGCCTCGCAAAGCACCAGACCGCGGCGGCTATGACGCGTCGACACCCGCGCCCGGCAGCGACCCAGGTGGCATGTCCAGGCGGCCGAAAGACACCGACAATCCCGACAACATGCCAATCAAGCGTCCGGACTCGAAAACCAATGACCGCATCCTGCACGACCGCCTGCCAAGCGATGCGATCGCCCGGTGACGCACTCGATCAACAAGTCGAAGTCCGACAGGGGTCCGGTACGCAGGGTGGCCGGTAATGAAGGAGTCGGCAAGCGCGGGTACGAGCGGTCATCCTAGCGGCACGATGACGATCCGGACAAGTTCTATTTGTCCTCGACACGATCCGTAGCGTGCTCTTGCATCGCAACATGAATCTGTGTATGATTCTGATTTTCGACGGACGCGGGGTGGAGCAGTCTGGCAGCTCGT